GACTGGCTGGGCTGGGCTGGGCTGGACGACGAGGCTCATGAAGAAAGACGACGCAGCCACAGCCGGACCAGGGCAGAAGGGAGGGAGCCCGGGGCGCTGGAGCGGGACCCAGAGGTAAAGAGGGAGCAGATCCTTGGCTCCTCAGTCCCTGGCATGGGGACAGTTGGAGCGAGGGAGGCTGGGTTTCTCTGACACAGGGAGGGGCTGAACCCCCGGGATCCTGATTCCCGGTGAGGGGGATGAATGGAGAGTGGGGAACAGGCCGGTGGAAAGGGTTGGGCTGAGTGGAAAGAGCCGGTGCTGGAATGGGATTGGAGCAGTGATTCTGGGTCCAGAAATGGGGAAGATCTGGGTCTTTGGTTAGGGGCCAGTTTAGGGTCTGGACTAAGAGGCTATTACAAAGGTTGGTGGGGACTGTGAAGGCTCATCCTGCACTCCAAAAGCCTCTGTGGCTCCTTTGCAGCTCCCGCGGCCACCCCCTCCCTGGGCTGGGTCATGCGCTGCCCCAAGTGCCTTCTCTGCCTGTCAGCACTGCTCACGCTCCTGGGCCTCAAAGTGTACATCGAGTGGACATCAGAGTCTCGGCTGAGCAAGGCCTATCTGGGACCCCAGGGCACCCTGCCAGGCCCCACACCAGCCCCTGAGCCCACCCTGCCGGCTAACCTCTCAGCCCGTCTGGGCCAGACTGGCCCACTGCCCTTGGCTTACTGGAACCAGCAGCAGTGGCGGCTGGGGGCCCTGCCCAGTGGGAATAGCACTGAGGTGGGAGACTGCCGGGCTTGGGGGGCTGCCGCTGCTGCTGAGATCCCCGATTTCACCTCCTACCCTGAAGACCTCCGCCGCTTCTTGTTGTCAGCAGCCTGCCGGAGCTTCCCTCGGTGGCTCCCTGGAGGTGGCAGTGGCCACGTGCCCAGCTGTGGGGAAACCTACCTGCTGCTGGCTGTCAAGTCAGAACCGGGGCGCTTTGCTGAGAGACAGGCTGTGAGGGAGACCTGGGGTGGTCCGACTCCTGGAATCCGGCTGCTCTTCCTCCTGGGGTCCCCAGTGGGTGAGGGGGGTCCTCACCTAGGCCCTCTGGTGGCCTGGGAGAGCCATCGCTACAGTGACCTGCTGGTCTGGGACTTCTTGGACGTTCCCTTCAACGAGACACTCAAGGACCTGCTGCTGCTGTCGTGGCTTGGCCACCACTGCGCCAGTGTGCGCTTCGTCCTGCAAGCTCAGGATGACGCCTTCGTGCACACCCCAGCCCTGCTGGACTACCTGCGGGCCCTGCCACCCCGCTGGGCCCGAGGCCTCTACATGGGGGAGGTCTTTACCCAGGCCAAGCCCCTCCGGAAGCCTGGAGGACCCTTCTACGTACCCGGGTCTTTCTTTGAAGGCAACTACCCGGCCTATGCCAGTGGGGGTGGCTATATCATCGCTGGGCACCTGGTACCCTGGCTGCTGCGGGCGGCAGCCCGTGTGGCACCATTCCCCTTCAATGACGTCTACATTGGCCTGTGCTTCCAAGCCCTGGGCCTGGCACCCAGGGCCCACAAAGGCTTCCTCACAACCTGGCCAACAGACCGCCCGGCTGACCCCTGCATTCTCCGTGACCTGCTACTGGTGCGACCCCTTAGGCCCCAGGACAGCATTTGGCTCTGGAAACACCTGCAGGACCCTCAGCTGCAATGCTGAGCCTCAATGGGGTCCGGAGGGGAGGGCTGACCTGGCTTGGGTCCTGGGCGGGCCTGGGTGCCAGCCTCTTGCCTGCCCCTTGTTCAGCCTCTCCTTCCAGGCCTGTGTGTGAGGGAGGTCCTGGAATCAAGGCTGCTTGAGCCGCTCCTGGGCTGGTCCAGGCTATGGGACTGGGCAGCAGGAGGCAGAAGACTTTTTGTCTACTTTTTGTTTTTAGAAAATATGAGCTTCCCATTCTGAGGCCTGGAGTTGTGTTTGCGCCTGTGGGGCCCAGGAAGTTTATAAGAGCTGAGCTCAGCCACCCGTACCCTGCACACCCTGTCCCTTACACTGGACACCCTCCCACCCTTACTGGACAGGGCCAGCTCCGACAGCCTCCTGGTCACCTTGCTGGACACCAGGTTTGCTTCACTCCATGGGAGAGCAGGAGTCCAACTCTGGAACACCCCACCCCACTCTGTCTGCTAAAGCTGGCCCTCCAGTTTGCGCAAGTTTCCAGGGGAAGTAAGCATCTCAACGGCCTTGGCCTTAATCATCTAATCATCTAACTGAAGGGGCAGGGTCCCAAACCAGTCATGCAGGACTCTCCTCCCCTCCCAAAACTCCAGGAAACAGAACCAAAAGTGGCAGAGAGCCAACGGTAGAGACACACAGTTTATTCACTGCTTGCTGACCACCTCTTGCTTTGAGAAAGTTCCACAGGCTAACCTGCCATGCCTGTCCCCAGTCCGGAGCGCTTCCAGTCCTGAAGGCACCTCCATCTAGCCCCTGGGAGAAGGCACTGTAACCAATGTCAATGTGGGGGCTGAGAGGGCCCCCCACAATGTAACAGCCTAGAGGAGCAGGGATGGTGAGCGGAAACCCTGCCCTTACCATCTCAGCCCTGCCATGTCCCGAGTATCTTGGAGGGTGCTGGCTGGGGAAGGGGGTGGTGTCCTGCCAGCTCCCTCCACTCCTCAGTCAGGAACTGCCTCTCAGGGTACCTGAGATGGGTGGGGTGGGGCGAGCAGGCCTCACTTCTCGAAGTGGTCCAGGGGGTAGTGCTCGCCATAGGTCTGGAGGTGACGGGCCAGGGACTCCTGTTGCTTGCGGAGCTGGGCAGGCATCTCCTGATACACATCTGAGAAGAGCAGGCTGGGACTGGGCTTCAGCTTCCGCTCGGCCTGCTCAAAGGCCTCCATCACCTGGGGGACATGGGACGGTAGGCAGGTAGCTGGCCTCCTGTCCAGGGCCCTGCCTCTTGTAGGACCTCGGTGAGGCGTTAACCCCGATCCTTTGTGTTCCCAACTGGACAACGAAGACGATCACCATCACCGTGGTGATACAGTTCACATCCCCATCAACACCCCAATCCCAGCACCTCCATCTTTCGCAGGACCAGGCACTGACCTAAGCCTATGGAATGGTGTCAGACTCAGCAGCCCTAAAAAGCAGGCAGCTTAGAGATGAGGAAACCAAGGCTCAGAGAAGAGACTTGCCCATGATAATGTAGTCAGGGGCAGATCTGGACATACTGCTACCTGATGCCAGGATCTGCCCTTACCTCTGGTCTGCAACTGCCTCTGGCTCCTAATGACCAGGGCCAGGGAGGGCAACGGGCTGGCTGTGGGTGGCACACTTACACCACATGCGGATTAAGTCACCTCATCCCCAACCTTCTGATGCAGGTACCCCAGGATCCCTCTTCAGAGATGAAAGAGCAGAGGGCAGACATCATGCCAAGGACATGGCCAAGGAGCATGTGCCCAAGCAGCCTGGCTCCACAGGCCACACTTACCAGATATCACTGGGGAGATCCCCAAGTCTCCCAGTTCAATGTCCCCCAAATCCCAGTCTCCATCCTTCCAGGGTTCCCCACGATGCACCCCCAGACACACCCCTAGGGCATCGGTTTCCAACAGAGGGAGCCACTCACCTTCTTCCGGGACTGCTTCCTCCAGGCCTTCTCCTGCTCCTCGTCCCACCAGCCCCGGCTCTGCATGTAGTGCCTCAGCCGGGAGATGGGGTGGTCCTGCTTGTCCCAGTAATTGACCTCGTCCACGGAGCGGTATGCCGAGCTGTCGTCACTGGTGCTGTGGTGCCCGATCCTGCTCAAGGCAAGGAAGGGAATACAACATGGGGTGATGGGGTCAAGTTTTGGGGACCCCAGTGATGGATGTGGGGAAGATGGTAAAGGTGGTGGCTGTCAAGGCTGGTGGGAGAATGGGAGGCAGGCACCTATAGGTCATGGCCTCAATGAGGAAGGGCTGGTTCTCTGCCACGGCCCGCCTCCGGGCCTCCTTGGTGGCGTTATACACGGCGAACACGTCATTGCCATCCACGCGGATCGACAAGATGCCGTACCCAGGGCCTCGAGCCGCTGTGGGGACAGAGAGGCAGCTCAGACCCCGTGGCTCAGGGAGGACAATGAGCAGGGAACGGGAGAGGGAAGGAAATGGGAGAAGAAAGCAAACAGAGCAGCGCTCCGTTCACTGTCTCCTGCGACCTCCCTCGTGCCGGACACCGCAGGAAGGGAACAGGAGGGGAAAGAGGAGACAACGCAGGCCCATACCGATGCCGTCCCCACGGTACTGCTCGGAGGTGGGCGTGGAGATGGCATAGCCATTGTTCCGGCAGAAGAAGATGATGGGGCACTCAAGGGTGGCAGCAAAGTTGAAGCCGGCATGGGCATCCCCCTCGCTGGCTGCCCCCTCACCGAAGTAACAGATGACGATCCTGTTGGCATTGGCCCGCTTGGCCGCGTAGGCTGCCCCCACCGCTGCAGGCAGTGAGAGGGTGGTAAGCAGGAGCAGAGCCCCACGCACGCTCGTCTCTCCCTCTCACACTCACCCCCATCACCCTCATCCCAGGCTCCAGAGTTCAGGCTGGCTGTCACCAGGCTCCAAGGGGAAAGAAAACACCTGATATTGGCCCTGGCCAGTGTGGCTCAGTTGGCTGAGCATCGTCCAGTGCACCGAAAGGTCACCTGTGTGATTCCCAGTCAGGGTACATGCCCAGGTTGCAGGCTCAATCCCTGGTTGGATGCATACAGGAGGCAACTGATCGATGTTTCCCTCACATCAGTGTTTCTCTGTCTCTCCCTCTCCCTTCCTCTCTCTCTAAAAACCAATAAAAACATTTTAAAAAAAGAAAAAAAAAACCTAATAACCTGACTGTCCCCCCAAACCTACCCCTCAGCTGACAGCAGCTTCATCCTTTCAACTCTTCAGGCCCAAAATGTCAGCTCCGTCTTTGATTCCTAACTCTCTGTCATCCCCATGCTTACTCCACCTTCAAAACAGAGCCAGAATCTGACCCCTTCTCCCCATTTCCTTCACCTCAGTGGCCCAACCTAGGCCCCTCCTATTACTTTCAGGGCAGCCAGAGGACTGTTCAATTGTGAGCCAGGCCAAGTCATTGCACAGCTGACCACTCCTCCCCCACGGCCTCATGGTGCCCATTCCACTGTGGCTTAAAGTCAAAGGCCCTGAGGCCCCGCAGATCTGCACCCTCCCATACCTCCCTGACACCCCTTACCCCCATCCACTGCTACCACACTGTGCTCCTCCCTGCACCTCAAACATGTCAGGCAGGCCCCGCCTCAAGATCCCCGCTTTCTCCCCCTCCCCCCCAAAATGTGACCTAGTGATGCCACCCACCTTCCCTGTTACACACCACTCCCTCCCAGCTTCATTTCCCCATGGGACCTATCAAACCCTGACATGCTCCACGGGTCACTTCACCTTGTTTACTGTCCATCTCCCTACCCCACACCAGCACCAGCAGGGCAGACGGTTGTGTCTGTCTCTTATTCACTGCACCTAGAATGGCACCCACATAGTGGGGACTCCATACATTTGCAACTGAGTGAATTAATGGTCACTCAAAAGGAAGGTGAGGGCCAGGGTCCCACATTATGGAAATCCTACCTACCTTCAGCAAAAATGTCACCTCCACCTAGAAGGCTGTCCTGCTCACCTCCCACCTCAGGCATGAACGGCTCACTACTTGTTTCCAAACAACGCTATGAGTGAACAGGCATGGGGCCCTCCAATGTGCCAGGCACTCTGCTAAAACTCTGTAGACACAGCAACTCATGTATCTGGGCTGCCCTGAGCAGAGAGAGCTGAAGCCAGACTGACCCTCAACCAAGGGCAGGCTCCAGAAGGCAGGGAGGGAGGTCCCCTTCCATGTTCCCCTGCTGTGCGGGCAGGAGGCCCAGCCCTGGTGAGCCTACTTCCCAAGCAGATGCCTTTAACAGAAGCGATCCCCTCTCCAAGAGCTGCGGACTTCCAGAGTACGCTTTAGGGGAGCTGACTCCGAGGACTGTGGCAGAGCAAGGTCGGGGTCGAAAACCCAGGCTCTAGAGCTACACAGCCCATGAGTCCTTTTTTCACTACCTGCCAGATGACCTGTAAGGAACCTAGCACACGCTCAGTCACACGCAGTTGGCTATGTTTGTGCACAGACAAATGAGGTGGGCTCAAGTTTTGGAACCCAAGAGTGCGGTCATGCTGGCTCAAGCCTGCCAAATGGGTGAGGACGCCACCACAGCCAACCTCTGAAGGGTTCCAGACAGGAAGGGTCTTGAAAGTCTGAGGCCAGGCCAGTGCTGGCTGACTGTCACCAACCAAAAAGTTCTGCTGGGATGGAAAAGGTCTGGGGCCTGTGCAGGGGTACACCATTGGTTGGGTGTTCCAGGCCTAGGACACGCATCCTCACCCTGAGGAATCTGTGTGGCCAGTGGAGAGGAGATGGTGACGAAGTGACGCTCCTTGCAGCCATAGTGGACAGGCATCTGGCGCCCCTTGCCCAGGTCGTTCACGTTGCCGTAGCACTGGTTCATGAACTGTTCCAGGGGGAAGTCCCGATACATCAGCACACCTGAGTGGGCAGGGGGCAGCAGTTAGTGGGGAGGGGGGTCCAGGAGGGGCAGACCAACCCTGTGCGGCTCCGGTCACCACATCACCTCTGACACTGAATGCTTACCCCACACCAGGCCCTGTACTAATGGCTTTGTGTCATCTGTCCCATGAAACCCCTCAACAACCATGTTAAGAAGATCCACCATCTCTCATTATACACAATACGCTAAGGAGCCGTTAATTAACTTGCCCACAATCATGAAGTACCTAAGAGGAAGGCTCAAGATCTGCCTCCCTGTTACCCCCAGAGGGAGGCTCCCTTACAGGGTCCCCATACCAACAACTAGCCTGGAACCACCCCCCTCAGCTCCCTGGGCTAACTCCTTGACCTTAATC